CAATTAATGTCATTTCATTCATTGTACCAGTTTTGTATCTTCCACGAGCACCACATGAATGTTCCCACAAAATATCAAGTTGCCTTGGGTTGATTTTTCACCATGGACTCCACTCCAATGTTGACTTATCTTCAACCACTTCTTTTACCCCACTTTCAATCATTCAAGCTGTGCCTTCCTTCTTTCGCCAAACCGAGAACTCAAATACAATCACACCTGGAAAATGGAAAAGCTTCTTCTTCCTCTCCTCTTGTTCTTCTCAATCCTGCTTTCCCCTGCAGCTTACACTCCCCCAGATCACTTCTTCATCAACTGTGGCTCAGATACAAACGCAATCGTCAGCGGCAACCCCAACCGGACCTTTATCGGGGATTCGGTCTCTTCAGGTTCCTTGTCTTTTTCCAAAGAGGGAAGCTATGTTACAACCAACAACCAGACATCAGAAGTTCTGTACCAAACAGCACGAATTTTCAAGCAGCAGTCTTCCTATGAGTTTGACATCGACGCTGGGGGGACTTATCTGGTACGTCTTCATTTCTTCAATTCAACTAATGTCTCCACGGCTGTTTTTGATGTTTCGGCTGCTCGATTTTCTCTTTTGAAAAATTTCACCATTCTAAGAAGCAGTACCAACGATAGCAATTCTCCTCTCATAGACGAATTCCTCGTAAGCATCACTCAAGGAAAATTTTCAATCCACTTTACCCCTCTAGGATCCTCTTTCGCCTTCATAAACGCCATAGAAGTCTTCCTTGCCCCAGAAAATTTCATCCCTGACACGGCTCCAACATCACCTAGTAACAATCACGGTGGTATACTCTCCCACGCTTTACAGACAATTTACAGAATCAATGTTGGGGGAGCAAAAGTAACACCAGAGAATGATACCTTATGGAGGACATGGATACCTGATGACGGTTTTTTATATAATCCGAAAATGGCAAAGAATAGCACACCTTTTTCAGGTAGTCTTAAGTATCAAGGAAATGTTACTGATTTTATTGCACCTTATCCGGTGTACCGAACTGCCAAAGAGATGAACATAGATAGTAGTAGGTTGTCAAATACATTCAATGTGACGTGGTGCTTTAATGTGTCTAAGAATTCTAGGCATTTTGTTCGGGTTCATTTCTGTAACATTGTTGGTAAGACAGATGGTAACATTATATTCAAATTGTACCTAAATGGCATCTACCCTCGGAAAATCAATCCCTATGACATGGCAGGCACCTTGGACACGCCGTTTTTCTTAGATTTTGTACTTGATTCTGATGAGTCTGGTGCTATGAATATAAGCATTGGTCCCTCAGAAGACTCTCCGGAGCAAAAAACTGCGTTTTTGAATGGAGTGGAGATAATGGAGATTATGGGGGAATCAAGTGTTATCAAGCCGGATAAAAGTAAGAAAACTGTCTTCCTTGTGGTCGGTCCTGTTGTTGGGGGTCTTCTTGTTTGCACCTTGGCAGTTGGGTTGTTTATCGTTTTGAAGAAGAGGAAGAGAACACCGGTTGAAACTTCAGTTTGGTCTCCGTTGAGTGTACAAGGCGGCGGAAGTTCCCATAGCAAGGGGATTGACAGAACCATCAATTTCTCCCCTGTCCCAAATTTGAACCTTGCCTTGAGAATTCCATTCGCTGAAATTCAGTTTGCTACAAACAATTTTGATGAGAAGCTGCTGATTGGAAAGGGTGGATTTGGAAATGTTTACCGAGGAAACCTCAAAAATGGCTTGAAAGTTGCTGTGAAACGGGGTCAACCAGGGTCCGGCCAAGGGTTGCCGGAATTTCAGACGGAAATCATGATCCTGTCCAAAATCCGCCATCGCCATCTTGTTTCCCTGATAGGATACTGTGATGAAAGGTTTGAGATGATACTGGTTTATGAATTCATGGAGAAGGGGACATTGCGGGACCATCTATACAACAGAAACCTACCCTGTTTGCCCTGGAAACAGAGGCTTCAAATCTGTATCGGTGCAGCCAGAGGCCTTCATTACCTCCACAAGGGTTCTACCGGAGGAATCATCCATCGTGATATCAAACCGACAAACATCCTGCTTGATGAAAACCTCATCGCCAAAGTTGCAGATTTTGGGCTCTCCAAGTTAGCTCCAATGGACCAAACCTATGTAAGCACAGGGATCAAAGGCACATTTGGTTACCTTGATCCTGAGTACTTCAAGACACAACAATTAACTGAGAAATCCGATGTTTACTCCTTCGGTGTCGTACTTCTTGAGGTGCTCTGTGCAAGACCGGCTATAAGTAGAGATCCTCAGCTTCCAAGGGAACAAGTGAATTTAGCGGAATGGGGACTTCTCTGCCACCAAAAAGGGTTGCTTGACACGATCATAGATCCATCAATAAAGAGTCAGATCAGTCCCAACTCACTAAGGAAATTTGCGGAGACAGCTGAGAAATGTCTACAGGAAGATGGTGCGGATCGACCTAGCATGGGCGACGTGCTATGGGACTTGGAGTATGCTTTACAGCTCCAGCAAACTGCAGTGCACAGAGAGCCCCACGAGGACAGCACCACTGATGCTAACTCCGGTTTACAAATGATTCACGTCCAGCGACTCCCTTCACTTAGCCTGCAAGTTGAGAAAGACGACATGCCCATTTTGGGGGACAGCACAACAGATGAGTCTTTGTTATCGACCAGTGAAGTTTTTTCACAACTGAGAATCAACGATGCAAGATAAGGCTTTTAATTCTCTGTAGCCTATGTGTGTTAAGTAATATATGTAATTTTAATTAGCGCCCTACTTTCTATTAAGAATTGCCAAGCTTTGGTAAGTGTAAATATAGTGTGGAATTTGAATGTTCAATGCACTAAATGTTTGTGTAATATTGTGAACTAATTTTTTCTAATATGTAAAATTTCTTTGAACAATTTACAATTTGAAATTTGCATCCAAATCCAGGTAGATAATTTCACAAGACAGAATTAAGAAATTTCTCTACACTGAACTCATTGTGATCTATGTATATTGTAGCTAAAATATACAACTTACATATATATATGACAATAGAAAAGATTACTAATGGCCTGGGCCTTTCGGGCTAGGTCCTGCTGTCGAAGTAAAAGCTCCATCCCCTGTCGCAGACAAAACCCGGCCAGTGTTATCCACTTCAGACGAGGATTTTCCGATGAACTCAACCCGACCAACAGCTTCATGGCTGGTTTCTTCATTCTTGACCGCTTGGAGTGGCCTGCAGTGAACAAGAGTTGTGTGTGTGATGAAGAACATCATGGTGAAGACAAGAAGAACGAGGCAGAAGGGTCTCATTGTTGATGTTGTTGGGTGATTTGGCTTGAACCCAAACTAAATAAACTATGTAGCAAGCTTTGAAAATAATATTCTTTGGCAAAAAGAGTGGAGGTGAAAAGAATGGTTTAGGATCTCCATTGAATGAGGTACCGACCTTTTAAAGGGATGGTCTTGGGAGGCGGAATAAAAAAAATATATTTGACTGAATAGAAGGTTTTACATTACATCTGTTTTTGTCGGAATTTTTTGACTTTACAGCTTATGATGCTAATTTGGGAAGCCTAGAGACACCAATGAGAAAAGTCGAATTAATATTTATTAATTTAAAGTTTTTAATTTAAAGTTAATGACAAATTTTAAAATTGTAAAATACTAAATAATTAACTTCTTATGTATAAAAAAAATGATAAAGATGGGAATTGGTTTTCATATTGTAGTATATTTTTCTTTTCTATTTTTGGTTCCCTTTTTGCCAAGAGCTGCAGGGTAATGGTTATATGAATCGTTCATGAATTCTCTAATTTCAATAAAAATAATTAATTTACTTTTAATTAAAACAAAGGTATACTTTCGATTAGAAATTTTAAATTTCAATTTTAAAACACGTAAAATAATAAAATTGTATATTATACAGTTAATTATCTGATGTACTGACAAGGAAAAAAAAATGCCTCTACCTTCTTGTAGAAAGAAAATGAAAAACTGACGGTATTGGTTTGGTGGTGATTAAGGCGTTGAAATCTGGAGAAATCTCAAATTGGAATTGTTTACCCAATTCTTTTTTTAAAAAGGGAACAATTTGGTGTCTACGTTTAATCTGGAAAAGGAATCTACAAATGGGAAATGGGATGGAAGGTTGGAAGGAGAAATTTAAAGGATATGTATAAGTATTTGATTGATGCTCTTTTAAAAAAAAAAAAAATGAAAGTTAAAAAAGAGTAATAAATACATATTTTAAGTATATGGGAATTGAGAAGGGGATCTCTTAAATTTTGTAAACGTAACTCATTGGAAGTCATCCCTACTAACCAATAATTTTAACCATTTGACTAAAGTGCAAGAATCTAATTAACGCTTTTTTAGTTGTGTGTATATATAAAGGAAAAGTGAAAGCAGAACCAATAAGAGGAATTGATTATTATGTGTAGATTTGAAGGGTCTACTCTCCAAACTTGTAGGTGTTCAGATGTCCCTTTTCCTTCCATTTTAATCATCTCTCATTTTCTTGAACTTTTCACAATGGATTCATCATTCATGGAGCTAATGCAAAGATGCCACCAAAAAATAAGTGGAATCAACATATGATCAAGGAAAAGGTTTAAGTTGAACGCTTAATTTTAATTGGGAAGGAGGGAATCTAGCTCTCTCTTTTTAAGTGGCAATTTAGAGGAGGGGAAGGGGCCAAGGGGATTATGGCGCGGCAGAGGTATGACTGGAACCTTGGCTGATGCTAAAGCAACGGCTGCACCAATCACGTACTAGCAAAATGGAAAGTTTTGGAAAATTCTCTCTCGTGTCATCCTGGGGGAGGGCCAAAAGGAATTGTCTTTGAGAGTCATACAAATAAAAAGGAAAAGAAAGAATGAACTACTTGTCCTGCAAACATAAAGGTGGCATTTGACAATATTTTCTAGTTAATGCTCATAAGGAATTTCCAAAATTATTAAAAATTTAAGACTCAAAGTTATATAATTTTTGATATATAAAAAAATATTTTCTAAATAATATTTTTCTTATTAACTATTATATTCAGAGAGTGGCTCAAGTTTGGCACAAACTCTATCAGGCGAACAAAATTTAGTAAAAGGATCAGATCCATTTACGCAGGCCGTAAGGTCAATTGCCAAGCCTATGCTCTTTCCTTAAAAATAGTCCTTTGTCTCTTTGGAATTCCTAAAAATTGTGTAATTTTACCAGTCAAATGGGGTGGTATTTGTCATTTGACATACCCAATTGTCTTATAGAGAAAAAATCCGAGGCAGTTTTTTTTTTTTTTTTCCTTTCTTGTTGCTCTTAAAAAAAATTGTGAGATGAAAATAGGAGAACTAGTGCCTGGTGGAAGCGATCATAATGTTTTTAGTTTTTTTTAGCAGCTTTTGCTCTATATACTTCTCAATTGAAAATTACGTATTGAATCTATTGATAGTTTGATACATTGTTAGTTTTAATTTTATTTTATTCAAAATATTGTCAACCATGAGGTGAAACATGAAGGTACAATAGGCGCTACCCTGGGCTGACTCCTGGTTCCGCCCATAACTATCTCCATGGTTCCTAGCTTGCATCATATTAATATATATATATATATATGTATATATAATTGGGGTTTTACATGGAATGAGGAAATTAAAATAGCCGACTTTGACTAAAAGTTGGATCCATTCCTTATTTTTTTTTTTTCCTAGCTAAATTAGACTACAATTGTACCATTTGAGAAAGATTTTCCGATCATTTCATTGATAAATCTATTAATGTTCTTGTCCGAAGAACCTTCAGGTTCTATTGCTTTCTTTGCCGCCGCCTTCAATTCCATCGCCTTTTCCTTCATCGCCACGGTTCCTGGCCTGTCACTTATCTCCCTAATGCACCTTTCTACCTCTTCTGTGCTCAGAGTCCCATCTTCATCATTTCTCATCCTCACTCCCATCTTGAAAACATCGACCAAGAGCTTGGCATCAGTTGGCTGGTCCGTCCACTCCGGATAAGCAATCACTGGCACGCCTGCCACCACCGTCTCCAGTGTTGAGTTCCACCCACAATGTGTCACGAAGCACGCCAAAGCAGGGTGTATCAGCACTCTCTCCTGCGGGCACCATGAAACCACTAGTCCCTGCTCCTTGGTCTCTTCTATGAATCCTAGTGGTAACTCACCATCTATATGCCATGAACATATATAACATTACTTAATACAGCAATTAAGAGAAGGAATGGCAGAAAATTATGACATTTTTACAATTATAATATCAAAAATGATAATGAAACACATTTAAATATTTTTAATGGATTAACATGTAGTAAATTACTTACTACATAGTAATTCAGAGAACAAATTGTGAAAAATCAGGATGTTCTCAAAATTAAAATGTCATAAATGCTAATAAAAAATTAAAATACTTTTAATGAATTAACATATAAAAAAATTTAATAAAGAATATTTGAACAATTTTATAGACAATAATAACATTTAATAAAAATTCTTTAAAATGCTAAGAGTTCTTAATTTTTCACTTTTTAAAAAAAAATTGTTTAGTTAAATGTTAATTTTATTAGAAACGTTTTTATTAAGAAAATATTTATAAAAGCACTATACAAAAAATTAGTAAAATTTTAATAAAATTTTATAGGATTGTTAAATTATTTATGTTTAGTAAAAAATTAATATAAAAATTTGATAAAAAATCAATAAGTTAGTCACATAAAAAAATTAAGAAAAATGTTTTCCTTAAAAAAATTAAAATTAAAATTTATTAGTTAAAAAGTGTGCAATTGAAAAATAAATGTTAAAAACTAGCACTTTTATGCAAAAAAACCCAGGAAAAAGTTAAGTTTGGGAAAAAAACTTTCATGCCCATTCAAAGAAACCAGTGGCCTAAAAGGTAGAAGCCGAAAGCAGACGAAAAAATCTGGACTGTTGATTATTTGAGGTTATGTAGGACCCACCCTATCAACGGCCAGCAAAACTCGACCTGCTTTTGGTCTCTACATTTTTCTGCCACTAGATTATTATTTCTTAATTGCTGAGTTATCATCACCTGTTGCGTGATCTGACTTCTTAAGCACCCATAAAAATGGCTGCTTGGTCTTCTTCAAAGCCGCTGCGATGCTCTCAATCTGCTGCTGCTTCAAAATAATAATGCTGCCAAATGCAATGTAGATGACGGAGGACGGCGGCTGCTTATCTAGCCACTGAATGCACGAATCTTCAACGCTCCACATATCAACATTCCCTTGCACGGTTTCTTCCTTCCCTAAAAGAAATGGCGACACCAAAGGACCAATTGAAGAAATTGGTTTCAGAGAAGCCATTGATTTCACAATTTCCTCCTCCAGCTCGTAAAATGAACTTCCTAGAACCCATTTTATCTTGTCCAAGTTTCTTACAAATTCCTCAACCAGAATCCGAAAGTGAGGCGGGGACGAAGGAAGTATAAAAGTTGGAAGATCTCTGACCTCCAAAACCGGCAGTCCTGGCAATTCCACTGTCTCATTTGGGTACTTCAAATCTGGGAATAATTCCATATGCCTAAAATAATGGTAGTAAATGGAGTAAACAGAGGATGCTTGGATCCAGAGCGCGGCACAGGGGATCCCCTGTTCGGCTGCAATGTCGGCTACCCACGGAACAAATGGATTAATTATAATGGCGGAAAATTTCCTGCCAGAATTGGTTAGGTTGGTAATGAGGCTTGAGAGATTTTTATATCCTTCCGTCTTCACTGCGTCGATGAATTTGTCCGCGTGCTTGCCGCGGTCGAATTCGTGGCTAAGACCGTCAGAGAAGAACTCAAGATTGATTGCGTTGCTTCCAGCGGCGGCGCCACCGTTTGTGACGGAGAGTGCGGACGAGTTTTTGGAGTCGAGCATCCGGTGACGGGCGTAGTCATTGGTGGCGATTGTGATGCGTACACCCTTTGATACGAGTTGTTTGGCGAACTTGAGCATGGGGTTCATGTGGCCCTGTAATGCTAGTGTCACCATTAGTACTTCTATTCCTTCACTCCCCATTGTTAATTTCTTTGTAAATTAAAGAAGTAATTAATCAAGGGAGTTCTCCTTGGAGGAATATTGGACTGACTCTGTATATCATGTCTGGTTTCGTTGGACTAATATATTATAACATCAAAGACACAAGTTTTGTTCCCATCAATTTTTTATCTCCTTCTATGGCATTTTTTTTACCTCCATTAATGGCAGTTAAAGATTTTCTGTTTTTTGAACCTACCATTTTAATATTAGAATATGCTCATTAGATTCCAGAGACAATGGGAAAAAATCTAGGGAAAATTCCTGAAATTGGTATAATTCTAAAACTAGGGTGAGTTATAGAGATTTTTTCTGGAAGTTTCCTAAAAACTTAAATTATCTCAATTTTTTTTTATTACATAAAGCTATATGATATGGATAATTCCCCCTTCTCAAACCTTTCTTCTTTATTTTGGGATTTGAGCTTAAAATTTTTAATGTAGAAATCAAATTTTTAACTATTAAGATATCTCTTAAGAGATTCTATATACATCTTGTGATTAATTTACCCTTCTAATCAAATTGTTGTTCTTAATTGGATTAATTAGCAAGTTAGCATTTAGGGTTGCTATGATCGCATATTTGCATGTACAAAGCTTACCAATTAAGGTGGGCAGAAAATTTTGTAACAGATAAAAAAAAACTCTAAAACAGACCAAAATTATAATCAACAAGTTGGATTTGATCAAATTTTGGATTTTTTCTTTTTCACTAAAACCCAAATCAAACCAATCTCAAATGATTTAGATTTTATTGCTTAGTTTAAAAACTAAAAAACCAATGATTAAAGTGAGTATAATCAAAAAATCTAATTTGAAAA